AGATAAAGTTTACCGTATTGGTCCAAATATCAGACCGTTTTTCTCCCTGAAAGAAAACCTAAAAAAAAGTGGGATCATATTCAATTCTGGGTCTTGACTTTTAAACATCAATCTATGTTCACAACAATAGACAGTGCCGCTTATCTCAATGGCAAGTGTACCACTCATGACAGCTGCAGTGCCAGGGGGAGCAAAAATAAAAAATAAAAAACAAGGAAGAAAACAAATGCTTCATGAATATCTACAGAAACATTTTTCTCAATGAAACTAGTCGTTGGTGATTAAATGCAGCTGTTAGTTGTTTGACCTAAGTAGTTGGTTGAATAACTTTATATTGCACATCACTTCACAAACAAATCAACCATCTCCTCCACCATCAGCACCGCCGGTATACCGTCATTCTGTAGGAAATTAAAAAATGTGACAATTTAATCTAAAAAATATTATTTTTTCATTTAAATGAAAAACTACAGAAGCATATTGCATTCATGTGGGGAATTCTTTTTTTCTCCTGGTTTCTTGTTATTACGAGATCTTTATCTCTTAATAACAAGAAAAGATCTTGTTATTAAGAGAAAAGATCTCGTTATAACGAGCTAAAGATGTCGTTATTACGAGATAAAGATCTTGTTACTACGACATAAAGATCTTGTTATAACGAGAAAAGACACGCATTACAAAGACTAAAAAGATACTAGAGGGTTAATGAAGTTTGCATTGTGGCAGGCAGAGAAGGGAGGAAGATCAAAAGGCAACGATGACGGTTGATGATGGTTATTGATTTGATTGTGTTTTATTTTCATCTTGGTTTAAGGCATTGGGAAATGTTATCATCTTTGAGTAATACAGATGGTATTCTCATGAGCTTGTCGACTTAGCGCAGGTATCTGAAGGCGTTAAGGTTGTTCAGACGGAAAGCAAAGCACAATCTGACCTACTTGACATAACGTTATTCTTCCAGGATCAATTAAATAGATATGGTATGCTTCACCGATATAAAGTCATGCATCTGAATTGCATTCAAGCTGGCTACGTGGTGTCTCAAGATACGCTTAAGCATTTACTGAGAATACTTTAACCCCATGAAAAACAACTGTGGCGCCGGAATTGCTTGCTACGTGTTCATACTGAAATGTTGTAATGAGCTGCCACTGGTGTACTGTACACTCCCATAAACAAACCTGCACCTCCTCATCTCCACCACCATAATGCCTTTTCTTGTTATAATGAGATCTATTCTCGTTATAACGCGATCTTTATCTCGTAATAACAAGAAACCAGGCCAAAAAAAATATTCTCCACATGAATGCAATACGCTTCCGTAAAAAACAAACTTATTTTATTACATGTCTTGGGGGGGGGGGGCGGGATTATAATCAGGGTTGTCTTTGTTTCGGACTAATGAGGTTTTTTCCACTTCTTCTCATCCTGTTTTTCATTTATGTAGTTTATTGAGTTTTCCCTTATTTGGTTTGAGTGAAACAGTTTTCTCTAAACAAGCTAGAACTGAAATCTAATTTATAATCTGTGTATCCCTCATCATGAGATTACAGTCGGACTCGGCCTTTTAACTGAAACAGCCACTGAAATCAATTTTCTTCCATATCTGAAAATAAACTCTGATTATTCATAATTTCAATGGAACACATTCAAACTGATTACAAGCCCATCTTGCAAAACTACAACTGACAGTTTAATGCTCCGCAAGTCCGCGGAGCATTGCAACTTTTTCCACCCCTGACAGTTTCAATCGGATGTTCTCCGGTCACCGCAGAATGCTTTTATCATCTCCGAGCACTGTCATATGAATTGAATGTCTGACTCACCGATCACTACTGTTTTTGATTTCTGTCAGGTTAGTGAATCCATGTTGTTGAGAGGAAATCGTCCCATTTGGTAAGAAACTGTTTGTTCTTCCCCCCCCCTTCTTTCCTCTAAATGGAATGCACATTTCCAATTGACGCAAACCAGCGCTGAGACGTATCCTATTGGTGCATGCAGGTCTACCCACATCCAGCTCTGTTATGATCCCTCAACAGGGCTCCAAGAATGAGAGGCATCAGCTTTTCTTTCCTTGACACCGCAGAGGGAAGCCTTGGCAAACATCTGACAGTCTCCAGACGCAAGGCACAGCTTGCCAGGCCAGCTAAGTTAAAGCATCTAAAGTTTCTATTGTATTAGAGGTAATTTTCATGTTCTATTTTTGTTCCACATTGCAGACATAGCTGGATTTCACCCTTTGACGTTGTTGGTACTGCACGTTTTTAATTAAAAACTGATAAAGTCAAATCGCAGTTACCCACATAATCAACTCTATACTTTGTGCTTGCTTGGAGTGATTTATTTTATACCACCTATAATCAGCTGATTCATCGGGGAAGGGGGACTAGGGGAAAATGGGGGATGGATTGTTTATGGCATGGTTTTTGACAAAAATAAATAAAACATAAAACAAATATTCATCAATCACGTCTTCTTCTGGGCTGGCCAATCTCTTCCCTTTTACAAAAACAAGAGGACAGAAAGGACTGTGTGAAGGACAGTATACATGAATTAGCATTGCATGTTGTAACTTGGATTCGGGTTAGGGGTTACGTTGGATCATCAATCCCAGGATAAATCTACAGATTGCGCTAAACGGCTTGTTCTGCAAATCACGCGATCATTTCCACAAATGAAACTAAGAACTTAACGAGACAGCTAAAAGCCTCTACGTAAGCCGTTGACACCTCTGGACTCTCTTCTCTGAGCACTGGAGAGCAGCCCTCCCCTGCAGCGTTATGCCCAAGCTCTCAGGAAGTGTGTCGACCATTGAAGCCAATTTTACCTGGTGGCCGAACCTGGTATTGCAGCTTCACATTTTGCCATCCTATAACCTTACATTGGCAAAGAGACATTATAAATCTGCAGGTAATATATTTTTAGGCACATAAACTTCCTGACTGAACAATTAGATAACCCGATTTAAGATCTTTAGGTCCTAAATGTTGTAAAATGCAATTAAAGCCGAATTCAGAAACATTTTTATAAACATAAAAAAGTGCATCAGAGCCACAGAACTGCGCCTCCAAGTTACATGGACGTTCGACTTTTTTTGCCGTATGTGCCACATACTGATGTATTAGGCCTATAGAATGGATACAGCATTGGAGGCGGAGCCCCGTTTATTCCAATGAAAGCTGCTCAGTGGTGGATCTATGCAGATCTTAATCGTTCCTGGGCCCATAGAGCATGCAAAGGGAAGTTTATGTTCCTCAAAAAAACGTTATCTGCTGATTTATAAAAGTCTTTTTCCAAATGTGACCTCACAGGGAAAAGTCTTTTTGGGCCCAATGGCATCACATGATGATGCAATACCAGGTTAAGCCACCATGTAAAATTGGCTTTAACAGTCGGCGCACTTCCTGGAGGCTTGGCGCCACTGAGCAGCTTTCATAGGAACGAATGGGGATCCACCTCCAATGCTGTGTCCACATCCATGGTCACTAGTTAATAATACAAAAACTACATAACAACAATAGTGAGTGATCACGATCCAAAACTGCATTACGAAAAATAAGATTTATAAAATATGTCAGCAGTGAGTGTGATGTCTGAAGCATTGGTTATAGTTGGTCAAGTAAGTTCATCTTATTTTGAAAGAGCAAACTGCATTTATTAGTTCTACTCCTCGTCGTCGTCCTCCACTGTTTTGACTTTGAATGTCCTCCACCTAGTCAGTAAATAGCATCGACTGTAAATATTAAAGTAAATAGCAGTTTGTGGTCGTTAAAGCCATCATTATCAACTCTCCTTCGTTTCTTCTCCACATAATAAGAAAGTAAAGTAAAAGTAGTAACATGGTCCTCGATATCCAGCTTTGTTTCAAACAAAATTGTTGTCATTTTAACCCTAAAAAAGTAAGAATTTTAGACTCAAACACGATAAAAAAAAGCCAAAAGTTTGTTTGTGATGTCCAACGTTGTCAATCGAGCACGAGCTTCCAGTGATACGAGCAGCCAATCAAATTACAGGAGCAGCAAACCTCTAACAGTCAGTGGTAAACCGTAAGGTAAACTAAATAATATTACTAATATTTATGTTACTTAATTATACAGCTCATTATATTTCAAGCAAAGTTTTATATTCATAAATGTAAATTTGCTGAAGTAAAACCCCACATTTATACATTTTAAAATTCTACATTGAAATAATCACTTCAGACAACAACAAAAAAAAGCTGTGAATTTATGATCTAAATTTGAAGTTTTATAGTATATTTTAAAAGTGAACTAAATCAAATGTAGGCTACCTGATTTGAGATGTTGTCCCTTGGCTCCTATGCTTCATACATGTCTTTGTTTTTGTTATCATCAAGGTCCCTGTTGTTGTTATTATATGTTCACCTTACATCATTACGCTGCATTTGTTTTATTCGAGTAGATATCTACTAAGTTTATTGAAAATGTACATATTTAAACATGATCAATCATGTCTTTATGTAGGACAATTACATTTTGTATTATTTGTATTTTATCTAGTTTCGTCACAAAGTAATCCGATTAAATAAATAAAAATGCTTTTATTGTTTGTGTTTCGCGTTTATTTTAAACATGCTTTGTTCACTTTATCAACACAACTTTGTCCTTGAGAGTAAAAACACCTACTTCACCTTCATCCCTCCCACAGTGAAAGTCAATGAGCTCCACACACACACACACACACACACACACACACACACACACACACACACACACACACACACACACACACACACACACACACACACAGGGGTGAAGGTGGGTTTCTTGATAGGGCGGGGATGGCAGTGGGCATCAGGGGGGGAGGGGTCACAGATCCCCCCATACCAGCCATGTGTGTGCGCGAGCACGGATAAGAAAATTACGCCATCGGAAGATAATTATGTAACCCGGTCTCTTAACAACCGACCTCAAACTGTTCAGTCCCAGAGGATTTTGATTGACAGGCTCTCTGTGAGCCTCTATATAAGAGGAGGGAGCAGAGAGCCGCAGTCAGTGTTGTGCCTCCAGTCCTCCAGACTGTGGATGTAGAGAACCAAAGTGGACTTTACGCTTTTTACGCACGAGGTTTGCAGGAGATACCACCTCTCATTCATTTAACCATCGGCTCGAGTCAGCAAACAAGCTGATTATCTTCCACAATTTGTAACCTTTTATTGATCTTTGTGCCGGATATCGAACAGAATTAAGGAAATAAAGCTTAATTTGTCAGGTAAGTAGACTATATGGAGCACAGATGTTTGACATTTGTGTGCAGAGATAGTAGGCAATAGCATCATAGATCATTTTCTTCTGTTAAATGTAAACTCTTAAGGATAAATTCGTAAGCAGAAGGTGATTTTATATGTAAACTGAAGTCTGTTAATGTGATGCTGTAAACATATTAAGGTAGTCTTCCTGTTTAGCGGGAATTCCTTCATATACGTTATCAAATTGTGTATTTTTTTTCAATTTATTTTTCAATTATGCACCAGGTTGTGACAGGGAAAAGTGCAGACGCCTATAGAGAGGGACCTATGAGGTCATTAAAGGACAATAACGTGACATAAAAACTAATAAAGCACATCTCTGTTGTTTTTTTGAAGGAGATATGATACTCAGGAGAAGTCTCTTCTTGCTGCTCTTATCTTTTAATTTCCTCCTCGCATTGACTCAAGGTAAGTGGAATGCTTGAATAAGATGCCAAAAATGAATTATAAACATAATATTTATACTATTTAAGTGATTATTGTAACATAATGGAATGCAGCTTAATGCTATAATCCCCTCTCGCTGTAGTTCTAACATCCATTTAAAGTCTTTTGTCTTTTGATTTATGTGACAAATTGTGATTCTCTCTTTTTATAAAGGGTTTAAAAACTCTTCTTTGCCAATAAAGTAACAGTTTGATCCTCTCCTCTCTGATTCATAGATGGCGAGCAGGAGGACGAGACAACGTTCGACTTGTTTGAAATCAGCCAGATCACACGCAAGACTCTGGGGGCCAAACAGTTCAGGGGCCAAAACTCTGACGCTCCTGCTTACCGCTTCATCCGCTTCGACCACCTGCCCCCAGTGAGCCCCCCTATCCTAAAACAAATCCTGCAGCAGATCCAGAACAACGAGGGCTTTGTGTTCGAGGCCAGCATTCGGCAGGACCGCGCCTCTCGGGGGACCCTGATCGGTCTCGAGGGCCGCGACGGCCAGCGGCAGTTCGAGATCGTCTCCAACGGACGGGCCAACACTCTGGACCTGGTTTACTGGGAGGACGGCTCGCAGAACCTGTTTTCCTTTGAGGATGTGGACCTGTCCGACTCGCAGTGGAAGAATATCACGCTTCACGTTCACGGGGAAAATGCAAACCTGTTCATTGGCTGCAGCCTGATAGACAGCTTCATCCTGGATGCTCCTTTCTACGAGCACCTGCATGCCGAGGGGAGCCGCATGTATGTGGCAAAGGGATCCAGCCGGGAAAGCCACTTCAGGGTGAGACACACTATATTGCTTTTTTTTGTGTCTAGACAAGGAAAAAAAACAACTTTCTCTTGAAGTGTGGCAGAGTGGCTACGTGTAGCCCTTGTTATTCTTGTGGAAAGGACTCCATATTTAGACTTTAAATTGCCCCTTGTGTGTAAAAATGAGTGTGACAAGTTCAAGAGGGAACTTCAAAGCTCCTGTGCGAGTGTGTTTGTCTGTTTCCCAATGCAAATCTTAAAACCAGAAGAGTTTAAATAGAAAATAAACTTACCAAAAAGTATCAAGAATATGATAAAAGTGGCTTCAAACCGTGTGATCATGTCGCATCTTTCTTTTACTAACAGGGCCTTCTGCAGAACGTGCATTTCATCTTTGACACCAGCATCGAAGACGTTCTCCTGAGCAAAGACTGCGAGGTTACAAAACCGGGTAAGAGTGAATTTTTTTTTGTGGTTAACTTAGATAAACATTCATCCCAAAAGTGCCTGCCAGACTTGGTTAGTGGGAACCATTTCTCACTGGTGGATTTTCATGAGCCAAACGATGAGTCAAACTAATTATATTAGTAAACCCTTTCATGCGGCGATACCTTACAGATGTGATTGGGAAACTCTTTCACATGCAATCCCTCCAAAGCATTGGTATCTGTGTTTTGTTAAGTTTTTAACCACCACAGCACCCAGACCCAAACTGTTTTAGCGCTCTCAGTTGACTCCCTTCATGTGAATTTAACTCTTTTGGTTTCTTAAGTGGGTGAAAACAGCTTTTTCAGATTTGATATGTGGCAAGATCCCCCCCCCCCCCCCCCCATTATCAGCCGTGTCAATGCAGTGGCTGGAGGTGGAGCAGCATGCACGGTGAACAAAAGGAGACACAGATGCTTACATTTATTTCCACTGGCTCGAGGACTCGGGGATAATGCCCTGGGAAAGAAAACAGAAAAAGAGAAAGTGGATGCTCTGCTGCAGAGCGGGGAGCTTCCTCTTCCAGCTGCGCACACAAACACACACACACACACACACACACACACACACACACACACACACACACACACAATGAAGTCATGTATTGGCTGATTGGGTTACTTTTCTCAGCTGAAGCTCTGCTCACATGAGCAATAATACCTCGTGATCCTCGGCGAGGCTCACGCGAGAAGCCGCCGCCGCAGCTAAAAAGAAACAGATATCTGGGTGAACGTGGAGATAATCATCCTGCACAACAAAGCTGAGGAGTCACCAGATTTGGCAACTGCGTCTTCAGGCCAGTGTGACAAAACATCTCCATATGCGGGGGTGCGTGTTTGGCTCTGATAGAGATGTTGTTGCGCTGCAGTGTTGATTGAATCCCAGCTGTATGAGTTTATGTGTTGAACAAATGTGACCATGGACTGGAAGGTTTCTGCACGCTGGCAGGTAGCAAGTCAACGTTCTGCTCTGGTAGCACTCTTAAAGCCAAAAAGTCACTCGTAAACCAACAAAACCAACCCTCGTAAATCCTGTCATGTCGGAACATTAATGAGCAGCATTAAACATACCCAAGCGTTTTGCTCTTTCTTAATTCTCTCTCTCTATCTGCTTTGAGAAAGAAGAAGAATGTGTAAATGCTTTCACAGGCAAGCTAGCATGCGTTCACATGCACACACAGCGTGAAAGCCTCCTGAGATTTGAATGAATCCAGCAGACTGAAGAAGGAAAAGAAAACACAGAGCTGGCTACAGAGGGACAGCGTCGGACAATCTGGACAACTTGATGATTTAGAGTCCCCCGGCCTGTTGTTAATCTTCACCAATTTACACAGCGAGCTCCAAACCAGTTGCAATGAAATGCGCTGTACTCTGGCCGACTGACAGGTCGTCCCGTGGAGCTTTCATATGTGTCTTCTGTTTTCTGCATTGAACAGTCACAAAGCTCATCGTGATATAAATTAAGGTCAAGGGTTTGACATTACGCTGGAATAAGTTTGGGGTGAAATGGAGGCAATATAAAGGAAATATACTCACAATTACAGAGGGAATAATGCTAAACTACAACCCACAAATGAAGTCCTGTCCTGCCCTGTGATTTGAACTTTTGCATGACACATCACTCTAGACTGGACTTCCAGCTCCCGATCGGCAGATTGTGCAAACAAGAATAAATGCAGAGCCTTATTATCTTTGTAATTCACCATTTACATGTGAAAAGTTTTAGCAATGGATGATAAATGATCCAACTTAACGAGCTTGATTTGCATCGAGCAGACGACAGTTTTATTGATGTTTGGGCTTCTGATCGGCTGCAATGAAAAAGACCATTAGCGTCTCAGGAAACCTTGCAAATCCATCTGTGTGGTCACTCCAGTCTGTAGAGTTCATGTTGGAAGTGTCCACTTACCTCAAGCATGGAGGAGATTTACAATGGCTTGTTTCGAATGACACGAGGAACACCCAGGTCTTTTGCTTTTTCAGCTCCGCGTTTGCATCCCCTCCTGATGTCCACACACGGCTGAACTGCTGGAAGTGGAAAACATGTACCGTCACCATTTCAAACACAAATACATCTTTTAGACCAAACACTGCTGTCTGAACATCTGTTTTAAGGGAACACAATAAACATTGTAATCACCACATTGTTGTGATCTCTTTGGCCGCCTTCAGGAAAACAGGAAATCACTCGCTTTTCTTGTTTTTCAAATCATCATATCTCTCAAATGTGTTTTCCATCATTCTCTCTGATGTCTGTTTTTCTGCCACCCCCCCCCCCCCCCCAGATGAGGTGAATATAGTGAGCGAGACCACAGAAACCGTGGCCGTGAGTCCCTCCATCACGACGAACATTATCGGTCAGAAGACGGATGATCTGGGCGCGGATATGTGCGAGCGCTCCTGTGAGGAACTCAGCACCATGTTCCAGGAACTGAACGGCCTGCGCGTCGTCGTCAGCAACCTCATTGATGGCTTACAAAAAGTGGTGAGTAGCAGAAGTGCTATCAGTGACATGCTGTTAATGGACATAATCTTGACTTCAGTTTGTTTTAAGATGCCTAATTGGCTGAACGGGCCAAAGTCAGTGATGAATGTGGAATTGTGAAATCAGCCAGGGAAGAAAATCAACATCTTAGAGAACTGGACATATTAGGAAAACAAATGATACGATTCCCCAGGCTGCTGCCAGGAGCTAAGAGGTTTAAATTAGGTTACTAGGTAACCTACATTGGTTTTGAAAGCAAACATTTTAGTAGCCGCAGGGCTGTTTATAGAGTGGCCTGTGATGGCTGAACCCGTTTAACTCCAGCTATCTGTGGCAGCGTGAGTCAGACAGCTTTTATGACATGTTACATGTGGATATAGGAAGTGTTCCCCTGGCAGCTGCAGGGTCCAGTCTAATGTCTGGCTGTGTTTAAACAGCCCTTGTGTTTCCTCTGGGAGCCTCCCAGCAATAAGAGAGTCTGGGCATGAGCCTTGGGAGGAGGAAAAAAGTAGCGGCTGGGATGAGAAGGGTCCCTGAGGCTCTTCCAGATCGAGTGGTGTCTCAGATTCTTGTGCTGCACACTGCTGCCTCCTTTTTCCTAACGGGAGGATGGACACACATACACATACACACACGTAGAGATACACACATGCACAAAAATACACACAAACTTTTGGCAGAAGTTTATCTCCTGACAGTTGCTAAGTGTTACAAAGTCCAGCCAGAGATCCAGTGGTCTCCAAGTGTGTTGGAGGTTACGATGTGCAAAACTGAGTTACACTTCAACGGGCTATTTTTCTAGAAACATAACAGAAATGTAGCTTTGTTTTTGGAATCTACAGTTACGAGAAACACAGTTGACATTTTATGACATTTCTCGTTAGTATTACGGGGCAGCTTTTTTTGTTTGGAGGTGCTTTTTTCCTTTAGGTTCATTTAAGTTTTCAGAGGTTTTCCCCTCTTATTTGACGACCTTAGAAAGTTTATTTTTCAGAACAATGTGATGCAAGACCGAAATGGAGAATGGAAGGAGAGGTTAATTGAATGGGTAACAGCCTGCGACATTTGGCCTTAAGTTAAAAAAAAAAAAAATCTATGCATAAAGTGCTTTGATTTGACAGTTTTTTTCGTGGTAATACATTTTAGTCAACTGGTTAACAAACAGCTTTCCTGTATGACCTACAAAAGCAATCCACACCATTTGTTAGATTACGCATTTTTCTTAACGTTTTTATTCCCTACCTGTCACAGCTGCAGTGGGGTTCGATTCTGGCAAAGCCGATAACATCGCACAGCTTAAAAATGGCCTTTTCTTTTTAATTTCCTGCGCCAGAGTTTCATATCTTTTTTCTTTCACACATGAACAAAACTCCTGAAAACTTAAACAAATATTCAGAGTGAGCTGCACGTATGAACGCAATGACTGAATGAACAAATTGTCACCAAAGTGTCGGACGTTGTTGCTTTGTCTGCATTTCTGTGTCATTCTTTATGTGTCCTACCCCCTCCTGTCAGACAGGGAAAGTCTGCTGTAAGGTGCATGGAATGCATGTTTCAAAACAGGTACAGTTACACCTTACATGAGTAGAAAGTGAGATAGTTATAAGGGGAAAAGGTTTTTTAATTTTTCATGCTTCAAGACGTTCCACTTTGTCCACAGGGGCCGACAAAATCAAAATAAGAGCAAGGTTGCTCCCAGATGCTCTAAGGAATAACTGCATTTCTTCTCGAGCAGGATGTACTATTCAACACACCACCTGGTCAAAAGTAACCTCACATGTGTTCTCATGAAAGACTCAGCTTGTCAGCAGGTGTACACCTTGACATCTCTAATGGAATGCAGTGCAGGCGCGCACGTTTGCCCTAATCACTTCTGACTGATCTCCTTTGTCTCCTAATCTATCTGTTGTTGCATATTTCAGACGGAGGAGAACACAGTCATGAAGGAGGCCCTCGGGAAGATGAAGAACTCCAAGGAGAAGAACATGTGCTGGCAGGATGGACGCCTGTTTGACGATAAAGAAGACTGGATTGTAGACAGCTGCACCAAGTGTACCTGCCAGGTAGTGCCAAGTTATGTGGAAATATAAGTACAGATTTACTGTTTAATATCAATAACACTGATTCATCTACAATATTCATTGATGGCAGGAGTCCAAGATCGTGTGTCACCAAATCACGTGCCCCCCTGTGGCCTGTGCCAGCCCCTCGTTTATTGACGGCGAGTGCTGCCCCGTGTGTTTGCGTAAGTAATCAGCAGCCAATGCTCCCAGCGTATAAACACAATTATGAACACACACACAGTTTTATGTATGCATGCTATTTTAACTCAATGGTTCCATATGTCGTAAAAAACAACAACAACAAAAAAACAATATGCCACATGTATTTAATTTTTATTCCACAGGACTGCTGCAGCCAGTTTGTCTTTCAGAGTGAACCACACATTTATTTGTCAAAACATAAGACACTCAGGGAGGCTTCTGTGGGTTTTTTGAGATGAGGTAATGTGGTGACCGGGCTGACAAGAAGAATAAAAACAGTGCAGTCTTGATTTTTTGCATGTACTTTTTTTATTTTGTTTTGAAAGTAAGTGGACGTGGACGTTTTTCCTCCCACTGCATTCACATACAGACTGAAAGGCTTGTCCTGTCTGTGAGGGATCTAGGACAAAGGAAGAACACAACAGAAACTTCACAGTTTCAAAAGCATTTTTTACAAAGTTAAGACCATTCAAACTTCACCTTTGGGCTCAAAAGGGAAGTGAGTAGAGAAATAAATAAAAGATAATACACTACCATACCTTTGAAGTGGATGGCACAAGAAACCGATCCACAGCCGGCACCCATAGCTTTACCGGCCTTACTAGCCTTTGGCCAACGACTTTGCTAAGGTGGGTTAGTGTTGCTTCAGCAAATTTAACACTTTAACAAGTCAAATGTGCCCAGGCCAGTCGATCAGAAAGGGCAAGGATGCACCAAAGGTGATCCTCCAAAGAGTCACTAAAGTCAAAGTACACAGTACAACCCTCCAGACCTGATACTACCTGGTTCATAAGGTGTTGGAAGATTGCTGTGGCATCATGTAGGCCAAAGAACTGTGTTGGAATAGAGCCCGAAAGGTGTGATGAACCAGTGATGTCCCTTGCACTAGGTGTTAAAGAATAGAATAGAATAGAATTACTTTATTAATCCCAAACTGGGAAATTTTGTAAAACTGGGAAATTGTGTTACGTGGTAAGGAACCTGCTAATAACCTTTAAAGTCTTTATATGCAATATTTCACACTTAAATATAATATAAATCAAGTATATCCTCTGAAAATAACTCTGTGAGTCATGACTGTCTACAATGGGTGTAACACCCGAGTCCCACTGTCTGTGATGTTTTCAGAGTTTTCAGAGTCCTATCTTCAGTTTGTTTACATCGCCTGGACGGCCGGCTGACTCCTCCCCTCGTGTATAAAAGTTGTTTAATTGAGGGACTAGAGAAAAGAAGAATAACATACTGTACTCACTGCTTAACTGTGTTTCTAGATCACGCTCATTTCAGGTAAATTTACATGCAGTGTGAAGAGACCAGCATAATAAAGATCGCTAGCATTAGCATGCTAACACAACAATGCACCACGAGTTGTTTTGGTTTCATGCTGGTGCTCAAGGGCGACATCTGCTGGATCAAAAAATCACATATAAAGCCTTTAAGCAAGTCAAACTTACTGACATATTTAGCAGACCAGACCAGATCTACACAGTCCTCCATGCTTCAGAGTCGGAAAATGTGAGGTTCAGTTTTTTTCGTGTGCTTTTTGAGGGTCAGTACAAGATCTCAATGTACCGTCCAACTTCTTAACAAGCAAACAAGGGAAGGCTAACTACATGAGAATGGCTCTGCAAGTAATTGTCTGGCATATAGTTCACCTCTGCTTCTAAATGGAAAAATAAATGGTTTTTTTTATATCTTTCAGCTAAAGACAGCAATGATGGCTGGTCCCCCTGGTCAGAGTGGACAGAGTGCACAGTCACCTGCGGGATAGGAACTCAACAAAGGGGTCGGTCATGTGATGCAACCAGCAACCCCTGTCCAGGACCCTCCATACAGACGCGCAAGTGCAGCCTGGGAAAATGCGACAGCCGGGGTGAGGATGTTATTTTTAAAGTAGTATATCACCCGATATCCAGTAGCAACTGACTTAGTGCTGAGCTATTATCTTCATTAAAGTTTGCATCTGCAATTACCACAACTTTGCAAAAAATGTTAAACTGAAAACAGTAGGAGGGGAATGGAATACACGATACAACTGTGGAAAAACTCAGCACTGAGTAAATATGAGGTGGAAACTTCAAGTGCAAAAAACAGAATTAAGGCCTTCATAAATCTGTTAGAACTGGATCCATGTGAGAGAGGATGAATGCCAGTGAAGAGCTGAATTTCTCGGTCGAGTTGCAGGGTGTACCCAGTCCAAGTTAATATCCAATAAATCACTGGCTGAGAGGCCGTTCCACAGTGCAGTGACTCAACAGACCGCCACGCAGAAATAAGAAACACATTAATGAATTTGATCGTTAGATTGGTTGTTAATTGGGTAGGGTGTCTGGAGATTTCGCAAGATTTATGCTGGATGTCGAGACCGATGAATTGGGTAATTGTGGGATCAACGTTTATTACTGCTTTCAGCTAAGATTTTACTGCATCTGTTGGGCGACTGAATCAGGAGAATAGTTGACCAACAATGACTTAAACGTTGGCTTGAGCATATTTGAAAACGAGCCATGGTCACCATGATCACATTGTTACTTTTAGAGGCTGTCTTGGTCATTTTCTAGGACTTTGTCAAGAAAACACTCACTGAGTGGAAATCTAGAGGATAATACGTGATGAATGTTTTGTTGATCTTTGTCCAATATGTCTGATGTTTGATTTACCAGTTCGCCAGGACGGAGGCTGGAGTTTGTGGTCACCGTGGTCCTCCTGCTCAGTGACCTGTGGAGAAGGACAGATCACCAGGATACGACACTGCAACGCCCCCGTGCCACAGCTGGGGGGGAAAGACTGCGAGGGAAGTGGGAGAGAGACTCAGCGCTGCACTGCCAAGCCGTGTCCCGGTGAGTATTTCAATGTGTGTGACAGGAAACTCTCAAAAAAAGAAGCATCTCCATTTCAGCATCTGTCGAACCAGCAGACATCCTTGTGTCTCATGGCTCCCCGAGGCAACATTCCCCATGTGTTTTGGACTGGCCTCCTGTCTGTCTTTCAGGAAATGTTGACTTAAATCAGCTCAATATGTTTCATCTTGCAGTATTAAGTTCCAGGCTCCCAACTCTCCTGCTGCTTTCAGATTGCTAGCTGGAAATGTTGGCATATTATCATTTAGAAAGAAAGAGTTGAAATACTGTTGGAACAAAGTGCTCAATGTCAAAAACCAATTTCTGAATTTCTATGTCTGTATTTTTTTTAGTTGATGGTAGTTGGGGTCCTTGGTCTCCATGGGCAACCTGTTCAGCAACATGTGGACGGGGGATCAAAAGTCGGACGCGTGAATGCAACAGCCCTAAACCTCAGTATGGAGGCAATAAGTGTATCGGGGAGGCCAACGACGACGACAGCTGTAACGACAAAGAATGTCCTATTGGTGAGTACCGATCACTCGCAAACAAACAAACGCTTCTAGAGGTGAAAATGTCTGTTGGTGATTATTTCCAACCCCTATATGGCAACCTGAAATATCTGGCCAGCTACTGCAAGGATTGGATTCAATTTAAACTGACTTTCCCAGAGGATGAATCATACTGACTTTGGTCCAATGTTTTATCCTTGGGTGCCAACTTCAGACAGACTTAAGCAGAACATTTGAGCATGTCGGCTTGCTAATGTTATCATGAAACACAAAGTACCACCAAATATTTTAAACACACATGACACCAAAATCACCAAAATATGCTCAGTAGCAGGGGAACTCTATCTTGAAAGAGAGGTTGATGATGAAAAAGTATTTTATTTTTAATTTTCCAATGCTGTGAGTACCTAAAATGAAAAACAAAAACTTATACTATTTATTTATTATAGTGGAGTTAGACAGCCAAAGCCTTTATATATTAAACCAAAACTTACTACATAGTGAACCAACCCTTTGAAGCCGAGATGTAAGGTAGAATAGAGTGCTGCAGGCATCACGCTGCTTCCCTCTACAAAAAGCCTTCAGGTTTTTTCTATGGGTTTAAACTCTGAGGCAAAAAACTGTTTGACACATTTTGTTCACCAAGATAATCTTCATGAATGAACACAACATACTGTCATCATTTTTGAAGCGTGAATGCAATCGGCTAAAGTCAAATGCTAATGTTAGTCTATAAAGTTCTATTGTTACCAACAGTACTAGTTAGCCAGTTGTTAGCCTTTTGTAAACAAAAATATAAAGAAATTCCCAAGTGGGGCACTTCCAGATGTAACATCAAAATCCCTTCAGTTTGTGTTTACCACAGAAGTTATTCTGGGTATTTAACCCAAAACTTGTTCAATAATTCACTAGACTTCAAGACCATGGAAACAGAAGTGCTAAAATGCTAATTCATTTCCGTGCTTTAGGACTCGTTTCTGCGGATCTCTACATGTAAAAGTTTGGATCTTTAGCATCAGGTTTAAATAAAAAAACATTAATTTCTGGAGTTTTATCAATGAGAAACACTCTACACAGATATGTCCTGCAATGTCTAAATCCATATTCTTGTCACCTCATGTCCTTTTAGATGGCTGTCTGTCTAACCCTTGCTTCGGGGGAGTGGATTGCAACAGCTCTCCAGATGGATCTTGGGAGTGTGGCGCATGTCCTGCTGGTTTCCGTGGAAACGGTACCCACTGTGAAGACATTAACGAGGTAAAAAGTTTATAGTTTATAAAAAAGTTTATAAAAGTTTATATTAAGCAAACATGGGTTTCATGCTTCATTTAGTTTTGCATTATACTTAAGCTATCCTTTCTCTCTTCCAGTGTGACATGGTGACAGACGTTTGCTTCAAAGTGGGAGAAACACCACGCTGTGTCAACACTGATCCTGGTTTCCACTGCTTGCCTTGTCCAAAACGATACAAGGGCACCCAGCCTTTCGGTATGGGCGTGGAGTCAGCAAAGAAGAACAAACAGGTGAGTTAAAGTTGATCTTTTTGTACCAGCGATCGACTATTTATTTGACCCTATTCGATAAAGGCTAGCTCATAAAAGACCTGAGAGCAAAATACAGGAAATAGTCCAACATGGGCCTCTAGCTCCAGGCAGATTCTTTTCCAAGTGTCTGGATTTTTTGTCAGATCCAGATTTGTGAAAGATGGAAGCAGCCGCTCAGGTGATTTATAGGCCGCACTCTTGCATCGAGAGTGATAACACAGCGCTGGAGGGAAGACCTTGGGCCTCAATTTATGAATTTCACTCACCTTGACCCGGTATTGACAGGAAAAAAGGAAAGGGAGGAGACTTGGGCTACTCTTAACACCAAACATGTGCGACACACGTCTGGTTCTTGCATTGTAAGGTCAGAGGCAGATTCAAACCTTTTCTTTGGACTGTGTTTTTACTGTACGTGTTGAATGGATCAGTGCTTTTAGCCCAGCAAAATCATGTCAAACTTTTAGCACTTAAAAACTCAGTATTTCCACTTTCCACTGCTGTGATAACTGATTTTATTGTAAGTTATACAACATGCCATATATGTCAAATTAATAACTGGATGGGAACACACTTTTCTCCTCCCTTTTGATCGCAGGATTAAAAAAAAAAAAAAGTCTGGAAAATGTACAAAAATTTGCCGGGCCACTTTGAGATGCATTCGTATTACATCCTTTGTGATACTGCAGCTGCTTGTCTTTGATATGTTTCCAGAATGACACTAATTGATTTGGGAAAAGAGAATTGTCTCATCTGGCATTAAGGGTCTCCATTTGGCAGTTCTGATCAAAGGCTCGCCCCTTGCTGTCATTCTTTGCTCTATGAGCTCATGGAGTGGCATCCAAAATGGACTCATGTTCATCATGTGGTAATGAGTGGCAGCTGTGAATAACTTGTGCTGCCATAAAGAGGCAGCAGTGGGTTTTAGTGGGATGTATTAAGAATTTAGAGGGATTTCATAAAATCAACCGTACCCAGAAGTCGCGCCCATCCCCCCCCCCACTTTGGCTTTGTCCAGAGTCTTGGCCTCAACCCTTCACTTTGATATGGAGTTGCTTTCAGTTTTGAGTGGCTGCCACAGCAAAAGCACGACAAACAGTGGTAGAATAAGTACTTAACAAAACAATGGAAACAATATATAAAGTTTCAGTTCAATAGAGCTAAGTCTTTTCTGGCCAACCGGGCAATAGCACACAGGAGGCAAGTCCCAAACAGCAAAACAAATCTAGTAAGGGAACTGGCAACAATCTGAAAACCAAGAAACCAAAACAATGAGCCCACAAGGACAAACAAAGACAATGGTAGGGAGTAATAGCAGGGAAAAAATCCCCCTGACAATATCAGGGGGAGGTTGGATTGAAAAGAGTTGAAAGAAGATGTAAGTCCTTTAAAATAAAACAGGGAACGTTTCAGTTAAAGGTTAACGGGATATTCCATAAGCAGTAGTGAGAATGGTTTGGAGGGTTGACCTTTTGTAATTGGTGAATCCAGTGCTCTTAATGTTTGATGTCACTGATGGCACATTTCATACTATGGTTCCAATGCCTTGTGTGTTTTTATTCTTCAGGTGTGTGAGCCGGAGAACCCATGCAAGGACAAGACCCACAGCTGTCACAAATATGCCGAATGCATCTACCTCAGCCACTTCAGTGACCCGATGTACAAGTGTGAGTGCAGGACCGGTTACGCTGGAGACGGCTTCATTTGCGGAGAGGACTCAGACTTGGATGGCTGGCCCAATCAGAACCTTGTGTGTGGTGCCAACGCAACATATCACTGCAAGAAGGTATTTCTTTGACCTTTGTTGACATATATAGATGCTTATTCAGCATTATTTATATTTAAGATATCTGTGAAACCGCTGAACTTCCCAACTGCTTTTTCAGGATAACTGTCCTAATCTTCCCAACTCTGGACAAGAGGACTTTGACAAAGACGGTCAAGGAGATGCTTGTGACAAGGATGATGACAGTGATGGAATTTTAGACGAGAGGGTACACATGGACACCTTTTATTCCATGATCAAATTCTTGATTCTTAAAAGTTTCTAACAACATTTCTTTTCCCCCTACAGGACAACTGCCCCCTCCTTTTCAATCCTCGCCAGTTTGACTTTGACAAGGACGAAGTCGGGGACCGCTGCGACAACTGTCCCTATGAACACAACCCTGCTCAGATAGACACCGACCACAACGGAGAAGGAGATGCCTGCGCAATTGACATAGACGGAGATGGTAAACCACGACTTAAGTCCCCTTAAGCAACTAAGAATCACATTTTTACCAAATAATTCTCAACAATATCTCTTCAACATGCCTTTTTTTTCTTAGAAATTCTGAATGAGAGTGACAACTGCCCCTATGTGTACAACACTGACCAGAAGGACACTGACATGGATGGAGTTGGTGACCAGTGTGACAACTGTCCATTGCTGCACAACCCCGACCAGGTACTGAACTTTTATATACATACAGTACACTGTCAGCAAAGTACTGCATTCTCAGTCTCCATTTGGTTGTTGTTACGACTTAACTGAAGGCAGGACCCATGTGCAACACACCAAACACAGGAACTGGTTTTAAATGGTTTTATTGTCCCAAGAAAGCAGTAAAACGAGGATAATCCTGCAGAACAGGTGGGACAGAAACTGCAGGCATGACTGTAGATGGGAAGCAGGTGTGTGGCAAGGAGCAGGAGGGGAAAAGGCTTGACCAGGTAACAGGGAGGCAGGACTGGAGAGTGATGAGCCACGCCTGCCACAAAGACAAACTCAGACAAACAGGGAGGAACAGACAGAAACTTTGGGGATCGGTAAACGCAGGAAAACTCAGGGAAAGCCAAGGCAATTGCTTGCTTATCAGGTATCCCTTTAAAATTGGCCTTCCACCCCAGAGACGTTTTTGCCATCAAACGATAGTCAACGCTTCCACTACACGTCATACTATTTTGCATTCATTTAAGCAGTAGGAGGAAGTGTCACAGTAATCATATTTTTTTTTCTGTTTTCCCACAGACTGATTTAGATAACGACCTTGTTGGAGATCAGTGTGACAACAACCAGGACATCGACGAAGACGGCCATCAGAACAACCTGGACAACTGTCCCTATGTGGCCAATTCCAACCAGGCCGACCACGACAAGGATGGCAAAGGGGACGCGTGCGACTACGACGACGATAACGACGGCGTACCTGACGAAAAGGACAACTGCAGACTGACACCCAACGTAGACCAGCTGGACTCTGATGGTGAGGATGTAGCGCTAAAATTGTGTAAACGACGCACCACATACGTTTCAATCATGTGAGAATTCATCTGTTAAAGTTTTGCATGTACACACCGGGGTGTATGAACTGTTTCATGCAACACTGCAAAAACACCAACACAAAGCCAATTATATATACGTTTTATTTTTGGGCTTTTTGGGCCTTTAATTGAGAGATAGGACAGTGGATAGATTCAGAAATCAGGGAGAGAGAGAGTAGAGATTGACACGTGGGAAAGGAGCCACAGGTGGGATCCGAACCTGGGCCGCCCGCTTGGAGGAGCAAAGCCTCCTTACATTGGGCGTGCGCACTAACCACTGCGCCACCAGCGCCCAAAAACAATTATCTTTAATCCTTCACAAAATACTTGTTTCCATTTTCCTGAGTCAAGCTAACCAACATGAAAAAACCTCATAGTTAATAAGATACAATAATATCACCTTGCTGGCTGTTAATTATATTAACAGATACATTGAATTTATTTATTTAATAGGGACAATGCAATTTAACATAATTTCAATACAAAGCATGAAACTGATGTTCTGCATAAAGAGTTTATAGCTATTGCTAATTTCCAACTCGTGTCCCCAGTTGGGCCTTTGTGTAAACAAACAGATTAAAATGTACAACATTCGGTTACATAAAAACCCTCATGATATGAGGATACATTAAAATACATGTACAACATTACAAATGCTATAAACCAGTTTAAAATAAAGTTTTAAGATACTAATTAAAAGTGGGTACAGCTCTGGCTTGCTTTGAGCCACACACTTCACAATCAGTTTTAGTTATTAGTTATTATCACCACTAATCCAACATTAGCAGTTCACAATAAATGCACACAAACATTTAGAAAACTATAATGTGGCCTTATGTAAGAGACTTGTTTGGACTGTGTCTGTACTTTTCAGTCATGGAACAAATCATCTTTAAAGCTAGATGGATTTTGGGGGGATATCGGATCTCTCTTTGATTGGCTCCATGCACTGAGACTTTCTACTCTTTAATCATTGCTGTTCATTGTGGTACTTCAGTTCGCCTTCTCCCAGATTTCTTCACAGTTAGCAATTAGCTAGACTGCAGCAGGTGTGAAATTTGATGGCTGTGGAAAGAGTCAACGACCCCGTTGGCAAGAGGTGAGGTCATTCCGCATGACTTCAGTGAGCTGACCAGGAGGGCACACGCCAGGCTGTGAAGTTTTTACTTCTCTCAGGCTTCACTCCTGATTAATTCACAGTGCCCAATTGAAGCGGGGTTACCTGGAGTTTGTACAGCTGTCTGTAACTGGAAACAGACGGCGAGGGAGGGAGGAGGGGCCCCCAGACACTGACGCTTTCTTCACAGCTCGTCACACGGTGTTTATTTGATAGAAAACGTTTTAGCCCCTTGTGAAATAACAAAGATGATGACAGCAAGCAGCTAGCTACTCCCGAGCAGAGGCCTTCATTAGCCAGTGGCGCCCCTTTCCACTGTGAGATCCTGGCCTGCAGTCTGGCTCTAATAGACTTCAGACTTCAGAGAGTTACAAGTATCAGTGGAAGTTGTCACAGCATGTAAGGACAGCTGATTTTTCTTCAGTATGCTTGGCAAAGGAATTTAAGCGAGTTTCCTTGGAGGAGATGCCATTTTCTCCATTCATCTTCAATATTAACTTGGAGGAGCTCCTCCAGCGCCGGCTGCAGTGGGAGTATTATGACACTCACATTAGCTGCCATAGAGATTTTCCAATCTAAGGAAAAGCAGGAAAAAGTATGTAGAATGTATTTCTAATTTAAATTGTTTTGTCTGACGTTTTTTTTTTTTAAGGCGATGGAAGAGGGGACGCCTGCAAAGATGACTTTGACAATGACAACATCCCGGATATTCTCGACGTGTGCCCTGAGAACAACGCAATCAGCGTCACAGACTTCAGGAAGTTCCAGATGGTCCACTTGGATCCAAAGGGAACCACTCAAATCGATCCAAACTGGGTGGTCAGACATCAGGGCAAAGAGCTGGTTCAGACCGCCAACTCCGACCCGGGCATCGCCGTCGGTGAGTTGTCAACACATGTTTACTCTCAGGCCACCAAAGCTTTCAGACTCTTGGAAAGTTAATTCAACTTCACACGGCCAAGTTATCAAATTCCTCTCACTCCTCCTCAGGTTTTGATGAGTTCAACGCTGTGGACTTCAGTGGGACGATGTACGTGAACACAGACAGAGATGACGACTATGCAGGCTTTGTGTTCGGATACCAGTCGAGTGGGCGCTTTTATGTGGTGATGTGGAAGCAGATCACACAGACTTACTGGGAGGACAAGCCCTCTAAGGCCTTTGGCATCTCTGGGGTTTCACTCAAAGTTGTAAACTCCACCACTGGCACTGGAGAGAACCTCAGGAATGCTTTGTGGCACACAGGCAACACTCCCGGACAGGTGGGCTGCGGTTCAAACACGCTTTATGTTCCTGTTTTCAAAAGGCTGAAGCGGTCTTTAACATTGCTCATTTTTCTACTTAGGTTCGGACTCTGTGGCATGACCCCAAAAACATTGGTTGGAAGGATTACACAGCCTACAGGTGGCATCTCATCCACAGACCGAAGACTGGTTTTATAAGGTAAGAAATCAAGCTGAATATTTTCTTGATTTGATGGTAGGACTTAAGCTTTGCCTCATCCTTTCAGTGGACTACAGAAACACTATCATTACATCATAAAATGAGATTGTATTATTCTGTAAATTTCAGTAAGTAAGTTTTTTTTTGCATTTTGCAGAGTTGTGGTCTATGAAGGTAAACAGATCATGGCTGACTCAGGACCAATTTACGACAAGACGTTCGCTGGAGGAAGGTTAGGCTTGTTTGTCTTCTCACAAGAGCTGGTGTTCTTCTCCGACCTCAAGTATGAGTGCAGAGGTTAGTACAAACATTTTTTACTATAATTAAACTAACTAATGTCACTAATGTCTTCAAACTGTCAGATACCATTCATTATTCTCAGTCAGTAGTGTTGAATGAGCAAACTGTCATAGCTCACCTGTCCATGTGGGGGAGCTGTTCATGGCTCAATTTTTCTTCTAGATTTCAGCAAGTTTAATTTTTTAAATCACGCTCATTTCAGGTAAATTTACATGCAGTGTGAAGATACGGCCATAGTAAAGATCGCTAGCATTAGCATGCTAACACAACAATGCAGCGCAAGTTGTTTTGGTTTCATGCTGGTGCTCAAGGGCGACATCTACTGGATCAAAAAAATCGCATAGTAAGCCTTTAAGCCGAAATTACAACATATTCTAATAACTAATGGGCCCACGAAGCATGGGGAGGACTTTTTTTTTTTTTGCCAATTTAAGCCAGCACTATCCACTTCTAACAAATGTTATCTAGTTATACCAAATAAGTGCTTAGACCAAATAAAAGCAGTGTGAAGTACATGCAATGTAGTCACAGGTTTAAACTCTTTAATGCACGGTATTAAAGATAAAAGTGAGTGTGCACTTTTTAGATTTAAGAGTGCAGTTTTGGGATTGATTGGTATTTCAGGTTTTAGTTCTGTGGCATGTTGTGTGTGTGCATTTGTGTCTATCCTATACATTCATAGGACATCTATATAAATACAGTATAAGGTCCAGAAGGGGGGGGGGCTTCTTCATGTTTGACTCGTATGGGTAATTTTTCTAAACATCTTTTTCAAACCCCAGATAAGCCGGAGTTTCCAACGGTGTTCCTCAGGTAACGACGAGAGGTGTTTGTGTGTTGTGTGTTTGGCTAAAGCATTAAAAAGAGTCACGCTATGTTTCTGCCTGTCAGCTCGCTCGTGTACAATGCCTCAGGCGCATTGTGAAAGACCTTGAGCGTTCCTCCAAGGATCTTCTTTTTGAGTGTGGAAAACAAGCCTGCGGCCACTTCACGATCACGGCCATATCACTGAAGACACGCTTTGTGTTGACGCACACAGTGCACATGTTGTTGCTACCCTGGCACTTTTGACTGTGGGAATCCTGTTGAGTGTCCTACTTTTTTATTGTAAATACAGCAGTGACGGAGCTTTTTTCTTTCCTCCATCTTTCCACAGATAACTGAATCACGTCTGATAGAAAAACATCGGAAGCCAAAAAACAAGAACTTCTTGAAGTAAACATCACGTCAAATCCAATTCAGAGTTAAAGAGACTTTTCCACACTCGTCCATGTTTCGCCTTGATCCATCCACCAGAGGAAACCATGGCCCACTTCAGTTTTTTCCCAAGCTGGGGAAGAAAAACTGATGAGATGGGATGAATTTTTTAGGAAAGCCTTGAAACATGTTTACCTTTTTTCTACATTTCTAAGGGTTCATCGTCTAACCACTTGCACGCTGTTTGAGCTTTCCTCCAGTTTTCTTACTTATTCACATTGTAGGCGACTCAGTTCTCGACCTTTTGCCTCGTTCTTTGTTCGCTGAGCAACTGATCATAACATGTCTTACAAACATTATCTGTAACCAAAGCATAATCAAGTCCATAACTATATCTCCTCATTGTTTCTTTTTTGTTTAATCCTGAATGTTTTGACTTCTTTATCAACAGAGAACTTGAGTGAACGCTATCAGAACGCCATGTTAGCCAGTGCCAAAGATGTTTATACTAAGTCTGTATCATAATTCCTTTTGTAAATTATTAATGCTCTGCTCGTTTCGTTCGTTCGTTTGTTTGTTTGCATTTTTTGCGAGAGTTTGTAAATAATTATTTATTTGTTTACACTGACAAAAACATATAATTGAGTATCACAAACGACAAGATAACACATTTCAGTATTGCATTTTTTCTAAGTGTTGTTTCGCACTTCCTTTTCTTGATAGTTTTTTTTTATTTCTGATGACCTGCACGGTGACTCTAAAGACAGAAGTTTTTTAAGGGTTGTCACAGAAGATGGAATTTTCATTCTGGTTACATGTGTACATTAATAAAGCCACTGTGTTTATTTTGTTAGCTTTCCACTCCGGGCCTCATTGTCCTCAAAGCGATGATGGTGCATGTGGAACATTTTTCAGCGATTGTATTCAGTGTCCAAAGAAACTCTTAACGGGTGTATCACTAGAATTGGGTGATGCAAATACTTTAGAAAGCACCCTCTCCAACATGACACCCCAAAAAATAAATAGATCCGTAATGCTGGCTACACACTGTACAACTTTTAAATATTAACTGATTTTTTAAACGGGGGAGGTCACAGACACAAAGACAGTTTTGACATTTTTTAACATTATAATCCTACAAAAAGCACCGGACCGCCAAGAGCACACGCTTGCCGTTCGCTGTTACGTTTCACAGTGCCAAATCATTGAACGCAAGGTCTCTCACATGATCCAATATTCCAATTTGCTAGAGTTATGGTTTGGTTTCTGTTCGCCGCCATGTTTGTGAGCTGTAAAAGTATCCACACGTCTGGTCTCCTCGCTCTCCTTGGCTATTGCGGGCATCCCAATCATTGGTGGAATCGAGACGAAATTGGGGAGGTTGGTCCTCGGTCTGGAGAGTAAAGTCATCGTGTTGACACCACCACTGGATGGGACAAGCCTCAAATCGGGCCAAGCCAATTCACAGTTGTTGGTGGGGTGAATCAGGACCAAATTTGGGCCTAAAATCATTTAGTGTGTAGCCAGTCTAACACATTAACAAAGTAACTAAATACACTTAATTGTAGTTTAACTGAAAGAGTCTTTATATCTAATGCTTTGTACCAAAAACTAAGTGAAGAATCACACCAACAGCAGAGACTTTGAGGTTCAAAGTTGGGTCATTGTGTTTTGTAGAGTCATGAAGTTCAAATACAGTGAAAACATTTTCTACACGTTTCTTTTTTCATGCGTATTGTAGTCGTTAATATCACTTATGGATGTTGTGAAACTTTCCAGTGTCAATGGAAAAAGGAATCCAGATGAAGGTCTCTGAGTGTGACTGTGTGTTTGTGTCGTGTGGATCGAGGGAGCGTCAGTGTGCGACCCCGGTGTCATTTAGTCTGTACAGCTTTGTGTTCTTCTGGTTTTTTGGTTTCCATCTTGTTTACCTTGTTGGGAGTTTTCAAATGCACAAAATGTAAATGTTTTTGTATACTTGTTTTGTTAGATTTACATTTTCTACAAACATCAGTGTAAGATTGTTCTGTTTCATAAATAAATGTCTTGTACACAGTTTGGTTGATTATTTACATGACAGTGACCCGGTATGATTACTGTCATCAGGGGAGATTCTGGTGGCTGTCGGGCCCGTAGACCAAAATGTACAGGAGGCCCCTTCAACAAACGTTCATCACCAATATGCTATAAATAATCTAACACCAAAAAAACAAAGCTAAATCTAAACATTTATTCTTAAAGTTCACATTAGTGTTATTTAAAAACAGAAATGAAGACCATTTAAAACCATTTCATCTGAAAATATAAAGAACAATAAATATGAGAACAAACACCATGATGTAATGCCAGCGGACGTTATGTTCAGTGGTGATTCTAGAGCCTGTTGGGGCCCCATGCAAAAATCAATTGGGGGGGTCCTCCAACTAGTGTTCATCACCATTTTGTCTCCAGGCCAACGCTTACTCCTCTTTTTTTCCGGTTACAGCAATTTTCTCTTATTTCTTCGGTGACTTTCATTGACAAACTTTGGTTTTCACAGCACTTGTTCATGCGACAACTAGCGGGGCAATGAAAGTGTGTGCCATCAGATGTGGGGCCCCATAGGGAGGTTTTGGTCATTGCAGTATTTGCACATTTTGGGCCACTGCTTTGGTTTAAGTCTGTGAACCCTCAGGGGCCGTCTGCTGGTCTCAAGCAGGTGACAAGCAGGTGACAAGCAACGCCTCTGGTTATGTCATACGAGTGTCTTTACCCGATATTTAAGGCTAAAGTAGCAACATTCAATCGTTTACTATTCTATTAGTGAGTGCTGTCAAATGGGGCCCATTTAGGGAGGTTTCCAACTGTCATTGCAAAACATGGACATCACCCATTTGTTACTGCAGAGGGCTTTGGAGACCCATCGATGGCGGTCTCCATGCTGGAAATTCTGTCTCAGCCTACGTTACATTCAACCTAACGACAGGCTGAGAGCTGGAGCTGAGGGGCGGGTTTTAAGCCGTTACACGGCGCCCACCTGTCAGTCAATCATGTCAGCTACACAACCTCTTGTGGGTCATAAAATAAAAATGGATGAGTTATCAACCAATTCACTCCTCGTACAGTGTGTGCTAATCGGGGCATGAGCTAATCAGACCTATTTTGTCTTTTTTGGCTGTAAACATGTTAACTTCTGCTTTCAAAACTGGCTTTTTTGAATGGGTGTGTATGTGACTTATGGTGCTCCTGTAGCCAGCCTCAAGCAGACACTCGACAAACTGCAGGACTTTGCTCTTTCGCATTGATTGTGTGCCCCATCCTGATTGTTTTCACCTGTGTTTCATTACCCTGTCTGTTGAATCTCTGTCATCCTTCCCTTCTGTGTAACTTCTTGGTCAAAACTTTTCTTGTGTCTCTGAACTCCCTCGTGTGAACTCTTCTGTGAATGCTTCTATTTTCTCTTGGCTCTTTCTGTGTTTTTCCCCCCTGTGTTTTGACTTTGGTTTATGATTTTGGACTTCGAACAGAAAGAATGTTTTTTGTATTTTGTTAAAATAAATCCTTGTTCAGTACATGAGTCCTCTGTCGTTTGTTGAATCTTTTAACTGGAAATTGGCCTCTGTTGTTGAGGCATGCGCTCTAACATCTCACCTAATACATCGCCATCTTTTAATTTTAGTGTTTAATGTTTTAATTACAAAAAAGAGACAGTCTTTATATATGCTGACACATGCTTGACATATTTGTGCTTTAAAAAAAAGTCAAACTCTGACCACTACAATTTGCAAAAACACAATAAATAATAGAATATGATTTAAGAAGTCTGCAGCAGGAAAGGTCTTTGTCAAAATGTGGAGGGAGGTTGGAGGTTTTGTCTGTAGTTTTTCCTATAACCATCTGTCTCTCTGGGAGTGAAAGGGTTAAGTAAATGAAGTTGAGGCCAGGAAAAAAATGTGCTACTAGGGAAAATGGGGGAAGTCAAAAACCCCTGCTCTCGTCGCTCTGCGGCGGAGATATTTGGGTTGAGGCTCTTGGAATGGTCCACGTGGCACACACCAAAGAGCGCCTATACGGAGCTGGCGCTGCTGGCTGGTTCCAAGCCCGGAGCACGTTCCAGCCAGGGTGGTTCATGCAGGGTGGTTTTGCCAGAGGATGTCAATGTGTGACACAGTAAACCAGTATTTTCTGCTGAGGCAAGTATTAAGGAACTAGCAAGCGTTTTTAAAAAAAGGATTAATGACTTCAAGGAAACTGGCTGCAAACATCCAAAAGAAAATAAATAATATTTAACTTAAAGAAAGAACACAAGGGTAGACGTTTGAATAAACTTTAAGTATGAGATCATCTTTCCTGAATGAGTTGAAGCTCTGATAGTTTTGTGTCAATATGTATTTATCTTGGAGGCTCGCATGTGGAGCTCAGCACCAGATCGTCATTTTTAGCGGCACAGAGAGAGACACAGAGAGCTGAAGGCAGATAGGGAAGCTTCTTATTCAAATACAAGTTTAAAAAGGAGAACTGCTCTTGGGGCGATGTCCGCCCTCAGTCACAGTGGTGTGAAATACCAGTCTGTCCAATGCTGGGATGGTGCAACTACAGTATATACAATATTCTTCTTACTGCATTTTTCCACTCTGAACTTCTGCAACTCTCGCCTAACACTTTCCTCTTTTCCATTTTTCACATGAACAAAAAGGCGATCTATTCTGATAGAATAGAACAGATAATTTAATTTTTGTTCATAAATATGTGCTTTATAAGCTTCATCGGCTTTTCATTTAAAAAAATGTGTAATCATTAGACCTCGTTAAAAGAGCAATATGTAACTCTGACACTTTCAAATTCAGTTCAAATTCAAAACATTAGACAGAGCTGTCTCTGCCTGCATGCTCAAGCAGGTTGCCATTTCGCAGACACTGTAGCTTCAGTGTTTATCCAGCTCTGCATGGGTCTGTAAACCTTTCTGTGTTCTAACCTCTCTCCATTTTTCAAAAGCATCTCCAATATTGATCCTAGTTTGAGCACGTTTCTGCTCGTGGAGCTTATTAGAAACATGCAGAGGCTTTTTAGGTCGGGTACAATCACTTCTATCTGAACCACTTCTCTTGCCCGATTCCATCGCTGCAACACCTGTTGACCTGATAACTGGTCCAAACAAATCCAGAGCATTCAGGAGCAGAATCTAAAGTTATAAGGAGGACATACTGGCTGCTGCATTGTTGTCAGAGAAGCCAGCACTTCAACATAGCATGTTTCCTTAATGTCTGATGATAAAGTGAGATCATTTTATCATTTGATTCACCACATATCTTACATGTTGATCCTTTAAGAAAACTTTCACTTAATCGAGTGAAACCTTTCCCCTTTCTAAAAACGTCTTCCCTTCACTCTGTTGCATCAACAGAGAGTTTGACCTGCTGCTTAAAACCATTCTTTGGTTTTCCCACTGGTTCGTTTGACGAGTGAACCTAAGTTGTTGCTCCAAAAGTAACTAAGGAGCCGCCAAGGGCAAGTGTGCTGGGAAAGAAGTGGGTCTGTCATTTGAAATAAAGTAAGTCATTCATTTCAGGGCATGAGTTCCTCTAGTCATTGGGAAAATATCCATTCTTCTTCTCCGTGCCAACCTAAGGGCACACACTCATTGCTCCCAGAGAAGTGAATAAGTGTTGGACTGTTGAGCTGAAGTCCTGCAGCACCGGGGCTCCAAGCTGTCTGCAGGAACCCCGGCTCTTTGATATTTCTCATGAGTAAAGAGTTGCTTCACTTCAGATTCTTTAAAAGACAATCGAGACGAAAGCAAGAGGAAAGAACTACACAGAGGAGTTTTTCAAGAGGACAAGAAAAAGATTTCCCATGCAGAGGTAATTATATGTTTCGACATTCACTCGAGTTCAGTGAAAACAGCACTTATCTCAAGGGATGTGTGTTCAAGAAAAGGGAAATGGAAACGCAGTTTTCACAGAGAGTGTGCAAGTACGATCCCCCCAAAATATCCGAGGTGTCAGAACGAGGCTTGTTTCTACTTAAGGGCTTGATGGCACTGGTGTGAAACTGGGAACAGCTGCATCGGGTCTCATTAAATCAGGTTGTGAAGTCCTGACCCCGCAGTAACCTTCCACAAAACAAAGCCAGACAGTGCTGATAGCTTCAGGCCTCCTGAAGACTGATTGATCTGACTCACTGAATAAAGTCTCATCAATTAGAGCTCTGATATGTTTTGGAACACTGAGCAATCAAATTAAGAGATATCCATTACTTTCCATTTGGTTTGAGATAAATCACCTCTAGTTTGTTTTCATGGTGTTTTCCAAGAACGCTAACATCTATGACCGTTGTTATATTTTCATCAAGTGAAACCATTGTGCTTTGTGATGCTAGAATATAACAACAACAAAAGGGGTGTGTCTCCAAAGAAGCATGAATCTTGAGCTGTATGACTTCCAAATGGTTTATCTTTGTTTTTAAAAAAACGAGGTGCTGGAGTCTGATTGTCGATGGCTGAATTATCACTCTGTTGAAGAAGGAGTTGTTCAGATGATACAAGTAACAGAAAGGCCTCAAATACTTCAAAAAGTGCAGGATCCACATTTGACGAGTTTTCAAATATGTGCATCAATGCAATACAGTTACCCTGGAATTAAATCAATTTAAGAGCATCAAAGAAGAACAGAAATGGGCTTGTTTTTTTGGTCCTGATTCCTTATTTATCGATCATGATCTTTTAAATGGAAGAAAATTATTTATTGAAGTCTCCTTCTCTCTGAAACAAAGACTGACTACAGCAGTTTTAAGGTAAAAATATGTCTCTCAAATGTTCAGAATAAGACAACAAAGAGCGATGTGTCAAAAATAAATTCAACGTAAAGAATAATTAAACATGCCTATGAGTCAAATTTAAGACAGCTTACTCCTTTAATTTTCCTGACTTTGACATTGTGTATAACAGACACTGCAGAAATCCTAGATGGTGCACGAAGTGTGTGAAAAAGACAGCTGTTTGCATTCACACATGCAGGCCATCCCTGAAAAAGACAAATGCACAAAACTGTAGAAAAATTTCAGGAAATTTACAAGAGT